ACTGCACCTATCCCGGCCAGGCCCAGCCTGAGCCCAGAAATCGGGGAGGCAGTTGCACCGCTCCTGGGCCCACGCTGGGCCTGGCCAGACCCGGATCGGTGTCCTTGGGCATCTTTCCAGCTGCCCGACGCTCGTGCGACGGATGCCAGCGACGGGCAGCGGGGCTGCAGGTCGGGTCGGGAGGTGAGCAAGGAAAGGAAGAGGGCTCCACGCTAGATGCCACAGCGACCTCACGCGGTGGCTCACGCGGGCCGCTGGCGGGGCACGCTCTGCAATAGGAACGAGGACGCTTACGCGCGACCTTGCGCGGGGAGCTTGGGCGCGAATGTCGGCGCAGTCGAGCCCGTTTTCGTTGCGTCGCAAAGGTGAGAAAATACCAACGTAAACACAGCCTTCAAGGGTGCCGTGCGGAGTCCTCGGATCGGCGCTGGCTCCCCCCGTCCCTGGCGCGCGGAGCGCGCCATGGGCGGCGCCCGAGGCACCGCTTCAAAGGAGTCGCGCCGATCCGACAACTCCGCGCGGACCTCCGAACAACTATGCTCATGCTGATGTTTCTTTTTTCGACGGATGCTGTCGACGGGTGGCGCGGCCGTGGATCCCAAAGTGCAGAGAGGCAAGTGCACAGAAACTGGAGATCGGATCGAATCCAGATATGCATCGACTCGGGCTGCATCGGCACGAAGCCTAGGCCGAGTCGGATCGGACGCGCAAGGGCTGCCGGGATGCACAACGGCGCCAAGTTCATGGGATTACCTCCGTATGCTCCTTTGCCGCATGAAACCCTCACGTCTGAGACACTGGATACAAGCCAGGGGCATATTCGACTTCGTCGGGCTAAGCCCACGGATTGCCACTTTTCTTGGATGCACTGGGGGTAAATTTGTGATGGCACCTTCGTTGTATCGTTATCACACGTCCATGTTGTTGGGCTGGAAGAAATTCGAACGCTCTGTTTGGTTGAACGCCTATTTCAAAGTAGAGTGCATGATGGAAGAAGCCAATGCTGCCCAACATGATCGCGAGTACCTTTTCCGTCGGGTTCTTCAACCGCAGTGGGACGAAGACATCGGCAGCCAGTTCCATCAAGGCCAGCTCCTAGGATCACGACATCGCAGACTGCACATCGACAGCACATTTTGTGCTCATGAGTTACGACTCTATCGGGCCATGGCAAACAAAACATGGCTACCCAAACTGAATGACGAATCACGTTGGCCATATGTGTCACGTATTTCCCAATGGTTGGAAAACTTACGAGTGCAGATCTTTGATGCGTGTTGTCCAGCGCCACCTCACGAAGACTGCATCAAGTACTCATCCAATATACGAGATGTACGGGTTCTTGATGACATCAAGAAGTTGCAGCATTTGCTATACGTGGGCCCCCCAGACAAGTTCCAGGCCTTGGTGGTACAGAATGTTTTCATATATCAGAACGATATGAAGGCACACCTGGCCAACATGGAGTTTTATGCCCCCCTACGTGACGCCCAGCACGAACGCCAAGCCATGCAAAATTGGGACGCTATTCATCGTCGTTGTTCCCCGACTCTACGCGAGCATTCCGGCATACAGGGTATATGGTCTCACAGAATGCTGTATTACATTTTTGGGAACTGGCCGTCCCTGTGGCAAAGTTTCCGATCAGGCGCGACGCCCTTCTTCTATTCAAAGTTCCAGGGCACGTACAAGCTACACAAGATGGAGGATATAGATATGAAGAAGACGCAAAATCTTAAGACTTATCCGACTCACTTGGTTCCTGTGCGACCAGTTATTAATTCAATTGGGGACTGGATGAAACGAGCGGCATATTGGATTGGACAGGTACTACAGCCTATTATGCCGCAGCTGCCAGGGATGACGTGCTCTTCCAGACAGACGCTCGTTACGTATGAAACCCTGGAGGTGCAGCCGGCGGCGTTCCTAGTGGAGTTCGACATCGCAGACTTCTTCTTGAACATCGATGTGCAATATTGTGTAAATGTTGTAATGTGGGCAATTGGAGTACATCTACCCCGACTCCCGCGTGAACAAAAACAGCTGGTAGAAACAATGCTTGCTCACCTTCTGTCTCACAATTACTTTAGCTTTGATGGGGATCTCTACAGGCAGGTCAAAGGAATAGCAATGGGGCTAGACTGTGCCCCACAAATTGCTGCTTTGGCTGCTTTCTACTATGAAAAGTATCGCGGAGCCCTGCAAAACCAACAAATCGCCGCGCGATCTTGGCAGAGATATTTGGACGACGGCTTACTCGTATGGAATGGTTCTGCGAACGCATTGCGACAGTTTCAGGACATCCTTAACACGCCTTGTACCACGCCTTTGGGCACATGCCGATTCAACTACAAGTTCACCGTCTCACGCTGTACTGCAATTTTTCTGGACATGAGGTTCCAGAAGGCCGGCAGGTGGGACGCAACCGGCGTGCTGGAGGTCTCGCTCTACGAGAAGCCGCAGAACCCGCACGCCTACATACCTTCGTCGAGTCACCATTCGCCGTCCTTGGCTCGGTCGTGGATTCGGCAAGAGGCGAAACGGCGCCTCACGCACAACTCGGATCCAGCACGGGCCTCCCAGGACCTGGCCCGCTTTGGGGCCAACATAATCTCCAGAGGATACGGTGGACAATTTTGGAGACAAGCTGTAGATGGCCTTTCTCATGGATTGCGGATGGATTTACTTGGTCTGCACGCCCGCGTGGATTACGGCCATTGCCGTGACGGGGCCCAGGCCAGATGCCTGACTTTGGTATTGCCCTTCCACCGAGAGGCAAACAGACGAATCAAGGAAATGATGGCAATCCCAAGCGAAATTATGCAACATCTGGACACTCAAGGTTTCCGGTTTGCTCTGACTAACAATCAAACTCTTCTTGCACACATACGAGGGCGGTAGGTTGGGGTATGTGGTGGACCCGCTAAAGTTGAAGCTCACAGCCAAAAATGTTACGACGGATCTGGCAAATTTGCGCAACAACATGTCTCAACACCATGCGTAGGAACATGCCATAGCCATTTCCTCTCCAGCAGTTGCCTGAAGACGCTGAGGCAGAAAGGCCTAGCGACTGCGAACCGAGAGCTGCACATACAGTACACGCCAGTGCAGATACATTTTCTCTACATATTTGTATCTTCGCTCGGGCGCCGAGCGCGCGAGCGCACTTGCACATAAGCCGAGGACTGCAGTGAAGAAACAGGTCTTCTTCTTCTTCTTTGGGGCATCTTTCCAGCTGCCCGACGCTCGTGCGACGGATGCCAGCGACGGGCAGCGGGGCTGCAGGTCGGGTCGGGAGGTGAGCAAGGAAAGGAAGAGGGCTCCACGCTAGATGCCACAGCGACCTCACGCGGTGGCTCACGCGGGCCGCTGGCGGGGCACGCTCTGCAATAGGAACGAGGACGCTTACGCGCGACCTTGCGCGGGGAGCTTGGGCGCGAATGTCGGCGCAGTCGAGCCCGTTTTCGTTGCGTCGCAAAGGTGAGAAAATACCAACGTAAACACAGCCTTCAAGGGTGCCGTGCGGAGTCCTCGGATCGGCGCTGGCTCCCCCCGTCCCTGGCGCGCGGAGCGCGCCATGGGCGGCGCCCGAGGCACCGCTTCAAGGGAGTCGCGCCGATCCGACAACTCCGCGCGGACCTCCGAACAACTATGCTCATGCTGATGTTTCTTTTTTCGACGGATGCTGTCGACGGGTGGCGCGGCCGTGGATCCCAAAGTGCAGAGAGGCAAGTGCACAGAAACTGGAGATCGGATCGAATCCAGATATGCATCGACTCGGGCTGCATCGGCACGAAGCCTAGGCCGAGTCGGATCGGACGCGCAAGGGCTGCCGGGATGCACAACGGCGCCCTGCGACCATCGGGCCGCATCGGATCGACGGAGTGTTAGAGCGGCCCAGAGCCGATATCGAATCGAACTGACTCGAATCAATCGGATTGGGATGGACCCTGGGGGGCGACACAGCCGAAAGGACGAGAGCAGGCCTCGCACCTCCTCGCTGAAGGGGCCGGTCCGCTGCCCCCGCCCCTCGCGGATGCCCCCATCTCGTGCCATCTCCGCCTGCCCCCGTTTCGATGCCTTCTACCTGCCCGCGGGCCCCGCCGGCCCCGGCCTCCCGCCTGCGCGTTCGTCGTCGTCTGTCTGACTCTACCCTCCTCCCCCCCCCGGCCCTCTTTCGCTGGGCAGCAAAGCCTGACCAGGATCAGCGTGGAGCTTCTAATATATCTCTCCGCCGTGCCGTGCTATCTGTAGGTCGGGCATGTCCTCCTACAGGCGGATTATGGACGACAAATAAAGCAAGTCAAACAATGACCACAATTGCCAAGAGAGCACGAAACATCGTCGCCTGACTATGTCTGATACTCTTCTTGAATATTCCCCCTTGTAGAGGGACATGCCCGACTGAATGCCATTTCCTGGTCCTGCTCCTCCTGGCGCGCGTCTTCCCTCCCCCATGGGCGCTGAGGCTCCGCCCGCCGGTCTCGTCGTTTGCCCGCGGCCTCGGCGCGATCTCCCCCCTCTACCACCCCGCCCACCTCGCTTGCCCATGCGCTTTCACTTCCACTTCCGCCCGTTCCCTCGCCATCGCGTCCCGCTCGGCTCCCCCAGCAGGGTCGGGGCGATCTGTGGCGGCCGTGGAGGGCCCGCTCCGCGCGGAGGACGAGAAACACATCCGTTGCACCCTCCTCTTGCTGCCCCGACCCACGGCCAAAACCGAAGCCCGACCCCGAGCCCGAACACGGGCCCGAGCCCCAGGTGGTGCCCTGGGGCCCGAGCCCAAACCCGACCTGCTCGTCGCTCCCCTCCTCGCTTGCCCGCCGCCCTCTCCCTCTGCCCGCCAGCCTCCTCCGCCCCGCTGCGCCACTTCCCTCGCCTTGTCCTTGTTCCGCTCGCTCGGCCAGTGTTCGTTTCGCCGCTGCTGTGCTCGCCTGGTCGCTGCTCCGCTCGCTCGGCTGCCTCTGCCGCCGCCGCCGCTCCCTCCCCCCTCCCAAGCTGGC